AATATCGCAAAATTAAGCTGTAAATCCCTCTAAGAGACAAAATTAATGTCAATATCATCAGCATGATGTTCACCGGGCAATGTAGCATTGATCAAGACAACTGCAAAAATTGCCGGCTGAACAGTACGAGAAGAATGCTAACAAGTGCAGCTGATTAAAGTACCAAAAAAAAAAATTCCATAAAATTCCAAATCTGCGGAGATAATCTCTTTCGGCCTGTGACTGGGAATTTACAGGTGAAAAACTTGAAAAAAAAATAGCGCAATTATAACAGGAATAGCTTCGCTGGAGATGTAGAAAATCATACATCACAGAGGTGAACCCTGCACACAAAAAAATGTCAGTAAAAGTACACTACGGCATGAAAGTACGGCGAATGTGTCACAGTGATTTGGAATCGAAAGAAAAAATTGCTTACCGATCGATACAGGCAACTTGCATTGTATCTATACGTTGGTAAAATAATTCGGCCGCTTGAGCTATTACCTAAAAAAACCTTGATAAATAAAACCTAAAAAAAAACAACGAAACAAAACAGGAGTATTTTTCGCTTTTAATATGCGGAACAAAGCTTCATTTTTCTGGTTTCCGTATATTTTCGTTCTTGACTTGTCCCCTTCATTTTTCCGCAGTTACCTCCTCATCAGTTTACCCGTTTTCATACTCTCATTACACTCTTTTTTTACAACCATTTTTCATATTTGTTTCATTATTTTATATTAAAACTGCAATAAACTTCCCGATAAAAAAGTAGACTTCGTCAGTGCCGCAGTTCATCGATAATGGGGACCAATAAATTACTCACCTGAGGCATGCTTTTGGTTTTACAGAGTTCAATTAGAAGACTGCCATAAAATATCGGTCGAACGGGTGCATCCGGTAAATGAAATAACTGCGAAAATATCACCTCCAATATGACGTAATTTATGGGCACCAGCGTGCGTTTCTCGTAATCCAGCAATCGTGCCGCACTAAAATTTACTGGTGCCCCAGGCATTAAGTGTAATAAAAGAAAGGCATATGTGCATGCAAATAAATTATAATAAATAGCAACGCGTACCAAACTAGTCGGTGCGATCATGCGTTTTGTGCAATTCAGCCCATCGAACGATTGTTTATTAATGATTTTCACTGCTTTGTACTTTAGTCTGTGCAAAAATCGTTCAAACATTGGAAAACAGTTAAAAATTTCACGCACTAGCGCATGAAAGCTGAATTCGAAACCTCGGAGGATGCATATCATTCCGTGTTTCCCGAGTTAATAGTTTACCAGCCAAAATTTTCACTAGCCCGTAGGTGGTACCCGAGAGCGCGAGAACGCTGAATTTGAATGGGCAA